GGGGGAGGGGAAAGGGAGGGGAACAGGGAGGAGGAGGAGAGGGGGAAGGGAGGAGCGGGGGAACACATCCTATATCATGCCAGGCGCAGGCAGTCCCTGGCACACAGTGTGGTCTAGCTGCTGAAGACTTCCCTGGAGAGTACTTAAATAAATGTCCTGATATGCCAGATGTGACGGTGCACACCTGCTATCCCAGAACTCAGGAGGCTGAGGCAGGAGGATGGATGTGAATTCGAGTCCAGCCTGGGCTATATAGTGCGTTTGAGGCCAGCCTGCACTATATGGCAAGACCCTATAGTAAAGACAGAAAGGGTCCTGGTAGGCTGAGTGTAGTGGTGCACACCTCTCATCCCAGCTACACAGGAGGCTGAGGCAGGAGGACTGCAAGTATGAAGCGCTGCCCAGGCTACATAGCGAGTTGGAGGTCAGTGTAGGCTACATAGTGAAATCTTGCTTCAAAACAAAAATACGTGTGTGTGTGGAGGGGGTCCTGGTGGAGAGAAATGCTCCTGCATGTGCAGCAATTCAGGAACTTAAAAAATCTATATTTTTACATAAACAAAAAGTGGCAAGCCGAGCATGGTGGCATGCCTGCAATCTTAGCACTTGGGAGGCTGAGGCAGGAGGATCACCTCAAGCTGGAGACCAGCCTGGGCTACATAGTGAGACCCTGTCTCAACAAAACAAAAACAAAGAAAGCAGAGTTGGCTGGTTCCTAAACCCGGGCTGAGAGGTGAGCACAGGCCGGCCTGCCGCACTGAAGTCGGTGGCGGGCTGGGAAGACCCGGCCCTTCCCCCGCGTGGAGCACGCAGGCCGGACCCCAGTGCTGGCTCCGAAGCGCGGTGATCTCCCAGGGTGGGAGCGGCGCCTGCAGCCCCGGGATCAGCTCCGGGCTGGAGGACACGGCCAGGGGCCCGCCGCGCCTCGGGGCACAGTGGCGGGGCTCAGAAGCGCCTTCATCCCCTCTGCCGGGGCGGGCCGTGACTTAGAGCCCAAGTCCGCCCAGCCGGGGAGGGACCCGGCCTCGCCCAGGGGAGAGTGTGCTCGGAGGGGCCGCCGCGGGCTGCCGGCTCGGGAGAGTGGGGGCCCGGGCGGCAGGAGCCTGGCAAGGGGTTTAGGGAGAGTGGCGTCTCCAGGCAAAGCGGAGGGCGGCCAGCAAGGTGCCCTTCAACACCCGCGGGCAGAGCGGGTCCAGGGGGAGCGGCGGGAGGCCGAGGGAGGCCCCCGGAGGAGCCGGCCCCTCACTCCGCCCCAGACCGAGCTCCGAGGGCAGCTCTGCGGAGGGCAGGTGCCGCCTCCCATTCCTCTCGGGACCGGCCCAGCCCTTCCCGGAGGGACCCGCGGCCCCTTCGCGGGCTCACTGCGCCCCACTGCCGAAGAGAACGGAGGCACCCTGAGGTCACGTTGACACGAAGCCCGCACTGCAGGGATCGCCGGCTGTTCAGGGGAAGTTTAGAGGCGCCTGATGATAACCCGGCCCTGTCGCCCTCCGCTCCAGGAGGCCCTCCGGTTTTATAAACAGGCAGTGCGCATTTCCGCAGTCTCCAAGTGCTCGGAATCAGTGTATCTACTAGTTGAGGTAACTTGGCTTTTGGAATAAGGATGTATCGTAGTAGAAAAGACTGTTCAAGTCAGGTATGGTGGTACACTCCTGGAATCCCAGCACTCAGGAGACTGAGGCAGGAGGATCGCTGAGAGTTCAAGGCCAGCCTGGGCTACAGAGAGACCTTGTCTCAAAAAAACAAAAATAGATAACGGGGCGTGGCGGTTCATACCCGAAATCTCAGCAGTTGGGTGTTTGAGTCCAACCTGGGCTACATTGTGAGTTTAAGGGCAGCCTGACTACATAGCAAGACCTTCTTTGGGGGAAAAGAAAAAACGGAGGGAAAAAAATTTAAAAAAGGCTAGTGATGTAACTAGGTTCAAACCCCAGTAGAGGGAGAGAGAGGAGGTAAGAGAGATAGACACACAGAGAGAGGGACACAGAGAGAGAAGGACACAGAGAGAGAGAGACAGAGAGAGAGACAAAGAGAGAGAGAGACAGAGAGAGAGAGAGACAGAGAGAGAGACAGAGAGAGAGAGAGAGACAGACAGACACAGAGAGAGAGAGAGAGAGACAGAGAGAGAAGGACATAGAGACAGAGAGACAAAGAGAGACACACAGAGAGAGACACACAGAGAGGGGGACACAGAGAGAGACAGAGAGAGACAGAGAGAGAGACAGAGAGAGACACAGAGAGAGACAGAGACACAGAGAGAGACACCCAGAGAGAGACACACAGAGACACAGAGAGAGACACACAGAGAGGGGGACACAGAGAGAGACAGAGAGACAGAGAGAGAGACAGAGAGAGACACACAGAGAGACACACAGAGAGGGGGACACAGAGAGAGACAGAGAGAGAGGGACATGGAGAAAGCCCTCTGGAAAGCAAAGGAGACCTGGTATACATGTGACAAAGGCCCTGGAGAAAAGCAAATGTGGTCCTGAAAGCGCCTTTCCCGTGCTCGGGCAGCCTCAGCCTGAAGCTCTGGGGTCCCCCAGGCGAGCACGCAGCTCCTCCAAGCCCCCGGGTAAGCAGGAGCCACACCCAGGTAGGAAGCTGCAGTATCTGGCTTCCTCTTGGGCCGCCCTGCAGGGAGGACCCAGGACTGCGCGCTATCTACCCTTATCTATCTCCAAAGTCATTCCTCAAATCCTGACCCTGCCAGCGCTTCTACGCTGTAGGAATGACCGGGAGGACTGCTGAATGCAGATTCCTGGAGCCACCCCCAAAACTGCAGTTTAGGCAGCCTGGGGCAGGCCTCCTACTTCGGGTTTCCATCCGGTTCCTCCACAGACTGCAGGCCTTGCGGGCTGCGCTTTGAATTCTGAGACTGACGACGAAGTGTTTCTGTAGGTGCAGAGGAATCTCTTCACACGGAGTGCTGTGGGCAGGTGACACTCAGGCAGCCCTGGCTCCTCAGGGAGCTGGGGGCCAATCCACCTCTCCTGCTGCTGGAGGCTGCCTCTAGCAGAAAGCTCCAGCAAGTCCCAGACCTGTGCAAGGCTTTCCTGCACAGAGGACAGGCTTCTGCTGCTTTTATTCCAGTGACTAAGGCTCTCCCCTCCCAGTATTATTGCTGAAAGAATATTTGTGTTTAGAACTAGATCTCCAAAATAAGTAAATAAATAAATACAAGGCCGGGTACGGTGGCACACGCCTGTAATCCCAGCACTCAGGAGGCTGAGGCTGGAAGATCATTGCGAGTTTGAGACCAGCCTGGGCTACAAAGTGAGCTCAAGGCCATCCTAAACTGCATAGAGAGACCCTGTCTCAAAAATAAAATAAATTAAGTAATAAAAATATAGAACTAGACCTACGAGACATTATTTTGTTTCTTTCTGAGACAGTCTCCCTATGTCCTTCAGGCTGCCTTGAACTCAGAGATTCTCCTGCCTCAGCCTCCCGAGTGCTGGGATTACAGACATGTGCACCACACCTAGCCTACTAAGGGACATTTTAGTCAGGCCTGATGGTGTACACCTGCAATCCCAGCACTTGGGAGGCTGAGGCAGGAGGATTGTTGTAAATTCAAGACCAGCCTGGGCTACAAAGTGAGCTCAAGGCCAGCCTGAACTGCATAGGGAGACCCTGTCTCAAAAAGACCAAAACAAAACAAACAAAAAAAAGCAAACGAATCTAAGAGACACGTTATACATTCCTCAGAGTATAAATCTAGTGAGTTTGAGAGTGCCGAACATTTGCGCATAAGTCAGTTACGAAGCGCCACGCGAGGTGGGTGTACTGGCACATGCCTGCTATCCCAGCAGTTAGGAGGCTGAAGCAGGAGGGCTGCTGGGAGTTTGAGGCCAGTTTGAGCTAAATAGTGAGTTGAAGGCCAGCCTGAACTACATAGTGAGACCCTGTCTCAAAAAAACAAAAACAAGAAATAATAAAAATAAAACACCTCCCTAAAATCTGAATGTCTCTCTTTTTTTTTTTTTTTGGTTTTTTTCTCCGGTACCTGGAACCGAACTCACGACCTTGCGCTTGCCAGGCAGGCGCTTTTGCCGCTGAGCTAAATCCCCAACCCTTCTCTCTTTTTTATTTTTTTTTTGGAGACAGGTTTCACTTTGTAACCCAGGCTGGCCTAGAACACACGGCCATCCTGTCTCAGCCTCCCGAGCGCTGGGATTACAGGCGTGGGCCACCACACCCATCACACCCGGCTTCAGTATTTTCCTGTTCATAATAAATCCTTGAAGCTCTCTCCCGCATTGGCCTAGAAGGACTCTGAAAATATCCCGGTCACTCATTCGCAGAACTTCTCAGCAGGATTTTGTCAGCCCCAGTCTTCTCTCGAATCTCATCCTAAAAAGAACGAAGAGAAGAATCTAAGTGTTTGTCTGTTGTTTTTCCTTTAACCCTTTGGAGCAGCACGAAAGACTTAGTAATTCAAGGGTCACCTGGTAGGAGCGCAGGCTCCAGTGGCTGCTGAAACTGGTCCAACCATACACTGTCACCCTCCGAGGGAGAGGAAACAGCCCTGGGTAACAGGAAGTAGGGGGAGAAATTTGCCTATAAAAGGAGGAGTCCGACGCCCTCGGGGGGTAAAAGGTGAAAGTCTCCGAGCACCTGGGCCGCTGGCTTTGTCTCCTGGCGGCCTTCAAGATGTCAGACGCGGACGACAAGGTGAGCTCCCTTCCCCGCACAGCTTCTGTCCCCTCCAAGGGCTCTCAGGACCCGCCGGGTCCCTAGGTTGTCCTCCTCTGCTCCCAGTCAGGTCTGGGTACGAGGAATCTCCATCTTGGAGCTGCTCTGCACTCTGCCCTCTGCCTCCCCCTCCCGTGCTTGCACTCCGTCTGTAGTTGGAGAGAAAAAAGGGAAAATGGTTTTCCTCGACTCAACCGAAGAAAAACGTTCGCTTTTGCCAGGAAAGGGCTGTTGTCACCGGGCATGAAATGGGGAAGGAAGGAAGAGCCAGGATTCGGGAGGGAAACAGGGCTGCCCTGGGGAGAGCTGGAGAGAGGGCTGGCTGGGCTGGTTTTCTTTTTCTCCAGGAATAAAAAGTAAGGAACTCGCAGAGTCCTTGACACCAGCCGGGTTCCGGGCAGGGCTGGAGTCCCCCTGGGCCCGGTGAGCCCTGAGGCACCGCGGTGCTTCCCAGGGCAGAGCAGGAGCTGCCCCAGCTAGGTCTGGGCCAGGGCCGAGGCGTGGGCCCTCTGAGCTGGCACTGCCTGCTGAGTGGAGGAGCCGCGTGCCTGTGACAAGGGGGAACCTGTGTGGCCGAGCTTTGGAAAGTGACATACAAATGCAGAAATCACTAATTGCAAGCCAGAGCCTGCGGGTAATGGGCAGCCATTGAATTTAAATTGGGGCAGGGGAGGGCGTGGCCGCGGCCTCCGGCGGTCACAATGGGCCGGGAGGGGGTTTTCACCTGCGGGAGAGCTGAGGTCCCGGCCGCCCTGGGGACGGCTGCGCTCTGGCCCTGCTCGCTGACCTCGTGAGGCTGGGTGTTCGCGTTCCTAGCACGGGGAAGCATTATCACAAGTGCAGCGTGCGGGCTGCACAGAAGTGTGCAAAGCACCAGCGGCGGAGCGCCAGCCTCCGCCGCCTCGCACCTCACCTTTTGAGCAGTGCCCCATCCTGGCAACCCTCCTGGCGGAGCCCGTGCCCGGCACGCACAGGGCCTGGGCTCCAGCGCCGACACCCAGAACAACAGAGCAACCCCAAAGCCGAACGCTGCCTGCTCCCTGGAGCTGGGGCGGCGCAGCCCCTCAAAGCAGCGGGAGGACGGGCGCCTTCGCTCTGCCCCCAGGGCCGCGCCGCTCGGGAATTCACAGGCCAACCCGGCGGAGCGCTTTGTTTTTTGTTGTTGTTGTTTTTTGTTTGGTTGGGTTTTTTTTTTTGTCTTTTTGAAACAGGGTCTCGCTATGCAGTTCAGCCGGGCCTTGAGCTCACTTTGTAGCCCAAGCTGGTCTCGAACTCGCAATGATCCTCCTGCCTCAGCCTCCCAAGTGCTGGAATTATAGGCGTGCGCCACCACGCCCGGCTCGCCTCCGTTTTATTCATTGCCTGTGCGCCTCGCTGGAAGGTCGGCAGTACTGTGGAATCACACAGTCTGTGACTGACTTTGCTCTTTTCAGAATGTCTTAGAGGAGGAAACAGAAGAGGAAAACGTGATTTTAACCCTGGTGCCCATCACGGAGGACTACGAACAACACATGGAGCCGAGCATCTCTTCCACCGCGGGTGCAGGAAGCGCAGGTACCGCACCTGCGCGTCCTAGGAAGGGCGATGCGGGGGTAGGAGCAGGGCCTGCCTGGTTAGCACCTCTGGGAGCCCCGGAAAAGTAGGAGTGTTCTTCCTAAATCTCACCTCAGTTACTTGTGGTAAGAGGGCTCACCTTGTTTTTAAGATGCAAAATAGGCCCGCAAAGCCACTTGGGACAGAGCTTGTTTTCACGGGCCAGCCAGAGAGCAGTTCAGAACTCACAGCCCCCGAAGCCCAGTCTCTCCCGGGAAACTAATGGGCTGGGGGTGCAGCTCGGCGACGGAGCACTAGCCTAGCACACTCGGGGCCCCAGGTGCAGCCCCAACACTGGGGAAAGGAAAGGTTTGCCTTTGGGGTTGGTTTTTTTGTTTGTTTCTTTTGTTTTTTGTTTGCTTTTTGAGGCAGGGTCTGGCTATGCAGTTCAGACTGGCCTTGAGCTCACTTTGTAGCCCAGGCTGGTCTTGGAACTCATAACAATCCTCCTGCCTCAGCCTCCCAAGTAATTATCCCACCTGGGATTACAGGTGTGCGCCACCACACCAGGCTGATTAAGTGACTTTAAAAAAAAAAAAAAAAAACTAGGACCAGGGATATAACCCACTGACACAGAGCCTGCCTGGCAAGCACAAGGTCTTGAGTTCAATTCCTAGTAACCCTCAAAATAAAAATAAAAGTGAAAATCTAGTGTTTTTGCTTGGTGAGGAATCACTGATAAATATCTAGCAACCCTTAAAAATCATAATGCAGGGCTTTGTATCTGTCCCCATAGATGACTTTCGATGACTTCCTAGGGAGATGTCAAATATGTTTCATTTTCTGGTAGGTGATAGCCTGCAAGGTGAAGTAAATAAGGGCCGTTAGAGCGAAGCTGAGCAAGGTGAATGTGTCGGACCAGCAAATGACAGAGCACCGTTGGCCTGGGATAGGGTTGGGGATGGCAGCTTTGATTTTTGTAGGAACAGCTGATATTTCTGGTTCAAAGTTTAGACCCTTGACAGAGAAATACAGTATAATGATGCCAGGTGTGGTGGTGCATGCCTGTAATCCCAGCACTCTGGAGGCTGAGACAGGAAGATCATTGCAAGTTTAAGGCTAGCCTGGGCTACATAAGTGAGCTCAAGGCCAGCCTGAACTGCATAGTGAGACCCTGTCTCAAAAAGACAAAAAAAAACAAAAAACAAAAACAAAAAAACCCATGAAGCCCTTGCCAAAATTTGCAAACAGGGGGGAAAAAGAAAGCAGGTGTGTGTAATGTGTATTACAGAAACATGGGGTTTAGAATTTAAGCAAGTCCTAAGTCTGTCTTTGTAGGTAGGGGCTGTGCTACATTGGGCAAGTCTTTTAATTCCTTTTTTTTTTTTTTTGTCTTTTTGAGACAGGGTCTTGTTATGCAGTTCAGGCTGGCCTTGAGCTCACTTTGTAGCCCAGACTGGTTTTGAACTCACAAGGATACTCCTGCCTCAGCCTCCCAAGTGCTGGGATTACAAGCCTGCGCCACCACGCCCAGCCAAGTCTTTTCATTCTTGAATCTGATACCTCATTTGTAATAGGAGTGAAAAAATGATATCTGTGCAGACCAGTTTGTGAGAGATGTGAGAAACCTGTGAAATGATGGAAGAATCATACGGACATTCAGGATGACCGCTTGGGTTCCATTCTGTCCTCAGGTCACCTTCCACAAGTGAAGGAAGAGCTCAAACCTTTCCCCAAACCGAGAAGCAAAGCAGGAGTGCCTCCCTTGCCCACCGTCCTGCCCCCGGTGAACGAGGTGTCTCGGGACACCCTGCGGAGCTGGTGCCAGCAGTTTAACCTGAGCACTGACGGCCAGGTGCGTGCGGGCGGGGCCCTGCAGCTGCCGCGAGCGTGGGGACCTCTGTCAGCGTGTAACTCCTCTCTCCCTTGCCATCTCCACAGAAAATAGAGGTCTACCTGCGGCTCCAGAGGCACGTGTACCCCCAGCAGGAATGCGTGAGTTTCAGGGGTGTGGCGCCCTGGAGGGGCCTGCGTGGTGGGGTGCCCTGCTCTGCTGGCGTTTCCATGTGTTGGGCTCTAAGCAGCGCTTCTTTTCCTTTCTATTTCCTTTCTTTTATTTGAAAAAATGTATTTTTGGTGGTACTGGGGATGGAAGCCAGGGTCTCTGCACTGAGCTATGCCCAGTGTTACAACACCTGGATTTCTCCCAGCGGAGAACCAGTACTGTGAGAAAGCAGCACTTCTAGCCTGGCGTGGTGCATGCCTGTAATCCCAGCACTCAGGAGGCTGAGGCAGAAGGATCACTGTGAGTTCGAAACCAGCCTGGGCTACAAAGTGAGCTCAAGGCCAGCCTGAACTGCATAATGAGACCTTGTCTCAAAAAGACAATAAAAAAAAAGCAATGCCTCCAAACCCTTCCCACCCTGACGCATGTACTCAGGTCTGCGTAAAGAATGGTGAAACGGACAGCAAAGTCGATGGAAGTCAGACTTCTCCAAACACCACTCGTGCTTTTCATCTGCAGGACGTGCCTGGGACCTCGAGGGAGGCCAAACTGCATTGCACTTTGAGGAAACGCAGGACAGGGAGCAGGAAGAAGAGCCTTGTGACGAGTCTGGATGCCACTTTGAAAGAGGAGGAGGCTGGCGTAGTGGAAGTGGTGACTTCGGCTCAGGAGTCCATGCTGGCGTCTTGGGCGAGGATAGCGGCGAGAGCGGGTCAGCCCAGGGCTGTGACTTCCTGTCCCATGCCCAGCTCTGTGGCAGCCTTCTTGCCGCAAGCCCCGGGTAAGACGAGCCTTGGGGTGTGCGTTCTCCAGAGAAATGGGGCTGGCGTTTATTAGGACAAAGACCAAAAGCTGGCAGGAGCAGAGGAGTTAGTTAAAATATCCAGAGATCAGAAGCTGGGTTCTCAAAGGCTTTATTTCCTCCTTGGTTGAGGAATAGCAACATTTGATTTTCTGAGACAGAGTCTCACTACGCAGTTCAGGCTGGCCTCAAATTCCTGGAGACCTTCCTGCTTCAGCCTCCTCAGTACTGAGATTGCAGATGTACACTGCTATACCTGGCTCAAATAACCAAGTTATGTTGAGATGGATCTTTAAGCCAGCTGGTTGAGTGTGGACCCTTTCTCATCCGTAAACAGTATTCCAGGCTAGGAAGACAGCATAACCTAATATTGTAGCTGGGCATGGACACCTGTAGTCCCAGCACTTGGGAGGCTGAGGCAGGACTGCCACGATGCTAGCCTGGGCTATGCAGTGAATTTAGTGACAGCCTGAACTGCCTAGGGAGACCCTGTCTGAAACAAATGCTGATAATGTGACAGTTGGGTATTACCTGAGTTCTTCTCACTGCCTGAAGGTTTTCAGAATGTGGATGTGCAGCTTTGCCAAGTTATTTGGCTTAAAATCCCCAGTTTCTTGCTCTACAAAAATATACCCAGGTGTGGTGGTGCATGCCTGCACACCTGTAATCCCAGCACCGGGAGGCTGAGGCAGGAGCGTTGGAAGTTCATGTCCAACCTGGTCAATGTAGTAACTCACTGAGGCCCTGTCTCAAATTAAAGAGCAATAAAAAGAGGCCTGACGATGTAGCTTATTGCAGAGGTCCTTGGATTCGGTCCCCAGGACTGAAGGGGGAAGGAAAAGTTTGTTACACGGCTGGGAAATGGCTCAGTCCGCGCTCCTTGGTGTGAGCTCTAGCACTATAAAAACAAAGGCAGACAATTAAAACAAGCGAACACCAGGTATGGTTGGGGCACGCCTGTAATCCCAGCACTCGGGAGGCTGAGGCAAGAGGATCGCCACGAGCTCAAGTCCAGCTTGGACTACATAGTGAATTCAAGGCCAGCCTGAGCTACATAGGGAGACCCTGTCTTCAAAAACCAAACACCAAACAAACAAGGAAAAAGATTTCTCAGGACACAGATCCCAAACCTAAACTTCGTTTCCTCTCTGGTGTTGGGAATTGTGTTTTGTTTGGTGTGAGACTCAGTCGCCCTGTGTAGCCTTTGCTGGCCTTGAACTCTTGGTGATTCTCCTGCCTCAGCCTCTCAGGTGCTGGGATCACAGGTGTGCGCCTCCACACCGACATGGTGCTGGGTACTGAGCTACGCCCGGCCCCTGCGCTTTCACCCGGGCTGCAGCAGAGGGAGTGCCGTGCAGCTGCTTAGACAGAGGGGCTGGTCAGAAGACTGCATTACAAGCCAGCTGGAGAGCGGCCGCGAGGAGAGCCCCTCCATCCCGCCACCGTTCACCTCTGCTTCTCTGTCCCCTCCCAGGTGGCAGGTGGTGCGTGGTCCACGGCCAGCTTCGCTCTGCAGATGTGGCGGGCTGGGTTCGCCTGCAGTTCCGCGCGGGTCACACCTGGGTCCCCGACACTCCCAGGCGGATGATCGCACTCATTCTGTTACCGGCCTGCACCTTCCCGTCCCCGGGGACAGAGGACAACACGCTGTGCCCTGAATGTGTTCAAAGGTAAGGCACTATGCCGACTGCCTTCCTAAGAGGGCACGCGGGAAGATGTCTAGACAGCCAGCTACGGGGGCGCATGCCTGTCATCCCAGCACTTGGAGGCTGAGGCAGGAGAATGCAAGAGTTGAGGCCAGCCTCAACCACACCCTGTCTCAAAACAAACAAGCACTGAGATGCCTAGGTGGACCTCAGAATAATGCAGAGAAGGCAAGAGAAAACACACTGTGTTCTTAACGTGCTGTATAGATCAGAGAAAAGGAACTGAATGAATTAGAACTGACATAAATGTAACCAGTTCTTACAGTGATAAATTAGGACTTTATATTGGCCACAGTATTAGAGAGCTTTGCTTTGCTTTTTCTTTCTATTTTTTGGAGACAGAGTTCCGCTGTGCATGCAGTCCAGATGGCCTTGGTCTCACTATGCAGCCCAGGCTGGCTTGGAATTCGAGGTGATCATCCTGTCTCAGCCTCCCAAGTGCTGGGATGACAGGTGTGTGCCTCCACACCCAGCCTGAGAGAGCTTTTCGCAGGAAAGAAACCAAATATTATTAGAGTTCCTACCACATGTCAGATACTCTCGGGATGAAACAAAAACTCCGTGCGGCACGCTCTCAGAGCCCAGGGACGGGAAGCTGAGAAATCTCCTGGGGAGTGGCTGTGTCAGCAGCCTGGGGAACGTCAGAAGCAGTCGCTTGGGCTGAGGGTGCACTAACAGGAAGTCATAACTTGCCCCACTTTAAGTAAAAAGAGCCAATATAAACACGGAAATAAGAGACTGACACATTCAGAAATGGTAAACTTTAAAGAACAAAATGCAAAATAATAGGAAAAAGTCAGGTGTGGTGAACACCTGTCATCCCAGCATGCAGGAGGCTGAGGCAGGAAGATCCCCATGAATTCAAAGCCAGCCCAACATGGCAAGACTCTGTCTCAAAAACAACACAACAGTGAAGTCTGGGTAAGAGACCAGCACCTCAGAGGGCCATTAGCATATAAATGGTGGGCTAGAGGTCAGAATGGTTCTGCAGAGCCCCAGAGAACAAGGTTTTTCAGTGGAAGATGGCAACACAGAAGAGGCACAGAGGCTGGAAGCTCAGGGAGCAGGAGGCGGCGGCCGTGGGCGGCAGGGACCCAGGGCAGAGAGCAGCGGGCGAGGCCTGGCTGAGCCCTGCTCCTGCGGGGCACCGAGGCCCACGCTGCTGAGGCTGACAGGGTCTCTTGCGGCTGTCACGTGTGGTGTGAGGAAGGCTCTCGCCGTGCAGCCCTCGCTGGCCTTCGCTGGAGCGCTTCCTGTGCTGGGCTCCCCAAGTGCCTCGCTGCCTGGCGCTGCCACCAGGCCCGGCTGCTGCGGCCTTTGAGCGGATACGCAGAGGGACAAGAGAGGTGAGAATGTGACCGTACTCAAGCCGGGACCGAGCGGGAGGAGCTTGCGCACCGGACATGTTGTTAATTTTTTGTTTTGGTTTTTTGAGACAGGGTCCCGCTATGCGGTTCAGGCTGGCCTTGAGCTCACTTTGTAGCCCAGGCTGGCCGCAGATTCAGATGATCCAATCTTCCTGCCTCAGCCTCCCGAGTGCTGGGATTACAGTTGTGTGCCGCCAGGTCCAGGGAGCGTTCGTTAATCCCTCTTCACTCGCTGAGCCCGAGAGGAGGAAGCAGCGGTGTGCTGAGGCAGTTCTTCAAAGGGCTCGCCCTGCCCTTCCCCGCTTCTCCGTCTGAATCTGTCCCCCACTCTGATTTTTCCTTCTTTCTCACTTTGTATTTCACTAATGTTGTCTTACTGGGGATTGGCGCTGAGCTACACGTTCACCCCTTTTTACTTTTTTCTTTTTTTTCTGAGACAAGGTCTTGCTATGCAGCCCAGGCTGGCCTCGAAATAGTGGCAGTTCTCCTGCCTCAGCCTCCTTGAGTGTATTCTATATTTTTGAGAGAGGGTCTTGCTGAATGTAAGTTGCCCTACGCTTGGCTCAAACTTGTGATCCTTCTGCCTTGGCTTTCCCGAATGCTGGGATTACGGGTGCACTACCACATAGCACATTCCCCACCCTTTCTTACTTTTTGTTTTGAGATGGGGAAGATCTCTCTCAGTTGCCAGGCTGGGATCAAACTTGGGATCCTCCTGCCTCAGCCTCCCAGGGTGCCAGCATTACAGGCGCACACCCCATACCCAGCTTCCATTTAATTATTTTAATGGGGGATGATTAGCATCTATAGGTGGGAAGCAGCTGTGGGAAGCGAAAGTGCCAAGATAAAACTGCAGCAAAGTCCAGCAGCCCAAGAGTAAGCGGATAATCGTGTGCCTTTGCTTGACACCATCCTTCCTACTGTAATCGCAGGTGTTAAGAAACTGCTTAAGAACTCAGAAGTAAATGGGTCCTTATTTTATGTGATTTTTTTTTTTTTTAAAGGATTTGGTGTAGAGTGGTTTATCACATTCTAATGATTTTTTTTTTTTTTTTTTTTTGTCTTTTTGAGACAGGTTCTCGCTATGCAGTTCAGGCTGGCCTTGAGCTCACTTTGTAGCCCAGGCTAGTCTCAAACTCATGACAATCCTCCTGCCTCAGCCTCCTGAGTGCTGGGATTACAGGCGTGCACCACCACACCTGGCACATTCTAGTGATCTTTTTTTTCTCATTTGTCTCCTAGGAATAAGAAGATGATGAAGAAATTAATCATGAGAGAGAAAATGAGACATCTTGTAGGAGACCAGAATATGTCACCCCAGAACATGCCCCCCTAACCAGTGTGAAGCACCTTCGTGACTGAGGGCGACTGAGAAGAACTAGACAAGAAAAGCTTTCTGCCTTCCCATTCTTGTCTAAAAAACAGGACACAAATACACTCCCGGCTCCTCCCGTCTCGGTAGGAGTCCGGAGGTAAAGACACATATCGCGGCCTGCTGTGAAGGTGGAATCCTGAGCACCTTCAGCGTCCCCTGGTGCCAAGAGTCAGACTTGTTGAGTACTTCAGTACTTACCTATAGAGGAACAATTTGCTTCGGTTTTGTTGTAACTAATATATATATATATATATATTTTTTTCTTTTTCTTTCTTTTTTTGAGATGGAGTCTTACACAGTTCTGGCTACTCATGAACTCACTAGTAGCCGAGATTGGCCTCAAAACTTGCAGCGATTTCCTGCCTCAGCCTCTAGTGCTGGATTCCAGGTGTGCCCTGCCCGGCTCTGGCTTATAGGTAATCGATTTTAGAGCGGTGTGGGTGTACACACAAGTGGAGCAGAAAAGCATGTGGTTTTCATCAGCTTTCATGCTCTGTGTGGTTTATAGGGATTGAACGGGGGTGGGGTGAGCTAATCCTACTGCTGTGCTTAGGCCCTTTTAAAAATGATTGCCAGGCGTGGCATGCATACACCTGTAATCCCACCACGCAGGAGACTGAGGCAGGAGGATCACTGCAAGTTCAAGGCCAGCCTGAGCGATAGCAAGATCAAAAAATAAATAAATACTTTTTTTGAGACAGCATCTCATGAGTAGCCCAGACAGCCTTTGAATCTGTGATCC